TTCTATTTCAATTAAATTATTCTTGGTGCTGTTGGTAGTAATGTTATCGTGATATACATTGTATATTTCAATTGGATTTTTATATTTCAAATATCTCCATCTAGACGGTATATGGCGTAATGTTGTTCTTTGTTTCTCTCTTAAATGCCATAACCATAAAAATGCGACTATTCCTAAATTTTTTATTGTTTCGTTTTCACCAACAACATTACTACTGATATTATTATTTGAGTATTCATTTTCTACGAAATTCGTGTTATAAAATCCTTTATTAAAATTGTTGTTTTTCATAACTTTTGTTAAAAACGATTGATTTGTTACAAGTCCTAAACATATTGTATTTCTTAATGCCAAATGCATTTTTTGTATTGCTTGTTGTCTTGTTGGTGCAAACACTGAAATTTTTGATATTAATGGATCATAATACATTGAAATCACAGATCCTTATCGTGTGTATGTGTATATTTTTAGTATTGGAATAATTTATTTATTTTAAAAAAAAATTTTAAAAATATTTATTTATTTTCTTTACCTGTTTCCACACCAGTATCATATCTAACATTTGGTATTGACGCTTGTTTCCAATAAAGTAATTTGCCTGTACTCGGTAAAAAATTTTTTGATGGATCTTCTGAATATAAACGACATTCAATTGCATGTCCCTAAAAATATAATAAATTAACATGTTAAAGAAAAAAATCATTTTTTTGTAATCCTTAAAATTCACATATCTCATATAAAATATTTAATTACAATAGATGTTAAATTAGGTAACGGTGATGATGATAATTCGTAACCTGGCAAAGAAAATAAATGTATAAAATATAAGAATTAAAAATACAAGCAATAAATAATTTGTTATTATCAACCTACCTTGAGAAACTAATATTTGAAGTTCTACTAAATCTAATCCGGTGACTAACTCTGTGATTGGATGTTCAACTTGTAATCTTGTATTCATTTCAAGAAAATAAAATTTTTTTTCTAATTTATCCTTTGAAAATCAATCAATCGTTAAATGAAAATTTTATTTTCAAGTGTTTTTGAATATGAGACTAATAATAATAATAATAATAATAATAATAATAATAAAATATTACTATTATTGAAAAAAAAAACTTACAACTATAAATTCAATTGTACCAACACCTTCATACTTAAGAAGCTTTCCAATTTGAATTGAAACAGATATCATTTCAGACCTTAATGTTGAATCTAAATTTGGTGAAGGTGTTTCCTTTTATATTTCAATTTTTTTAAAAAAAAAATTTAAAATATTAAGAATATTATTTTGGAAATATTTACATTCAAATATATACAATTCATACATACCTCAATAACTTTTTGATGACGTCTTTGAATAGAACAATCTCTCTCAAAACAATGATAAATGTTTCCATACTTGTCACCAATTAATTGAATCTAATTATTATTATTATTATTATTATTATTATTATTATTATTATTATTATTATTATTATTTTTAAAAAATCTAAACATTAACAAATGACTAATTAATTGTAGCAATAATAAGTACTTCGACATGGCTGACTGAATCAAAATATTTTTCAATTAAAAGATTTTCTGATCCAAATAATCTTAATGATTCAGCTTTTGCCAATGCAATTTCTTCTCTCAATCTGTCATAATGAATTTTAAATTATTACCACTACTACTAATATTAGTATAACTAATATTACTACCAAGATTCTTTATTACAATACTTTGACTCATCACGAATAATTCTCATTCCCATTCCTCCTCCACCTGAAGAAGCTTTTAATAATATAGGAAACCCTAATATGATTTATTAAAAAAAAAATTTTTTTTTAATGAAATTTATTATATAATACATATAAATATATTAAATTTCCACCTCAAGAGTAAATTTTACCAATTCTTAAAGCCTCATTTATCAATACATCAATATCTTGGTTTAAACCATTATACCCTGGTATAAGTGGCACAACTGGTAAATTTTTCGAAAGTAGATTTTTTGCTCCAATCTACCAATCAACCAACCAATGAATTGATCAATCGATGAATCGATCAATCAATCAATAAATATAGAACTAAAAAATTGTGTGAAGCATTCAAATTTTATTGAAAGCAACAAACTTTATCACCAATTGCCAATATAGAATCAGGTGAAGGTCCTATGAATCGAATACCTGATTGTGCTACTAATTTAGCAAAATCTGATTTTTCTGATAAAAACCCATAACCTTTTTACAAAAATTAAAATAATATTAATAAATTAATAAATTAATAAATCACATATTATCAACATTACGAGAACCTGGGTGTATAGCATCAGCCCCAACTCTTTTAGCAGCATTAATAATTTTATCGCCACATAAATAAGATTCATTTGAACCAATATAAATCGATTCATCCGCTAATTTTACAAATAATGAATCTTTATCACTACATGTTTATATTATATAATATTATTAATATTATATAAATAAATATTTATATGTATATAATTCATCAATTTATCGCTATGCTACCTTTCAGAATAAACAGCAACAGTAGAAATTCCTAAATGTCTACATGTAGAAATTATTCTGCATGCTATCTCTCCTCTATTTGCTATAAGTATTTTTTCAATTTGTTGCATTTTACGACAAAAAGAATCTAACGCTAAAATTTTTTAAGTTACACGGTTTACCATATGCTCATCCAGTCGTCGATGCAGTTTATATATTAAAATGTACATTGTGTACATTGATGTTAAAAATTATGCTACTATCTGTGATATTTGTCAAAGAATAGGAAATAAAAAGGAGAGGAAGGTTTACACCCTATTATAGTTGGAGAGAACTATTTGATATAGACATAAAAGGACCTTTACCATTAACAGAAATAACAGAAAGAAAGAGGAAATATAGATAGATGTACGGTATATTGTAGTTCAAAATTACCAGACAAAATTGCCAGTGATAATAATGATGTTTTATTTGATAAGCTACAGAATTGTTGCTTAAAGAATCCATGAAGTGATATG